AATATAACACTACAGCTTTTATCCATAATCCAGTTTATGGAGGCTTTTACCCCTAACCCTAACCCTCCCCATTTCCTCCTCTGGGTAATTACAAAATAGGACTGGAACAGAGCCCTACAAAAAGCTCAAGATATAGTGACGTGCATTTACACAGGCATGATGCAGCGCCGCTTCCAGCCTCCATCCATGAAAAGGCTGTAAGTGGTCTGTATAAACCACCTAAGTGGTCTGTGCAATGAAAGAATGAAAAAAGAAGAAGAAGAAGAAGAAGAAGAAGAAGAAGAAGAAGAAGAAGAAGAAGAAGAAGAAGAAGAAGGGAAGCAGCCAGGTGGGAGCAGCTTAATGTGTCTGGATAAACTTGCCAGCCACAAATCCAAACATCAAATTCCACTTCACAGTGGATGAAATGATAAAGAAATAAAACCCAAAACAAGCAAAGAAAAAAAACTGCATGTGCGTCCACACAGCATCTGCATCACCGGCATTTATTTATGCTTTAAGTGCACTCACTCTGTGTTGATGGATGCATTTCAGATTACCTTCCTGTCCTGCACGGCTGGAGTGAGCGTGCACCAGCCCTTATCTATCGAGGCCCATAAGTAATGGAACATCTTTCTGCAAATAGCAGACTCACTTCTCAAAGCCTCATCTGCACAAATCATTATCTGGATGCTTTATTTATTCAGTTTACAAGACAAAGCCTGTATACAAGTCAGAGCCTTTGCACAATATGTCTGCACTTAGCTTTTACGCAAGCATGGCCGCCGTGCAGGTGTGCGTGTAGCTTTTCTCCCCGCACAGCAAAATAGCGTTCAGATAAGATCCATCACTTGGGAAACGACAAAGGAGGCAACTGTGTGAAGAAGACATGGGGAAAAAAAGAAAGTCCCAGTAACTCAGATAATTTAGTTTCAAAAACAGTTATCTTCTTTTATCAGCAAGTGGAAACACCTACGAGTCTCCATTTGTGATAACTAACATTAATCACCGTTAGTTATGTCTGCGATTTCCCATGCCAGTGTCGTGGTAGATCTGCCTCAAAGATGCGCGTCAGGGAATCTTTATCTTAAATGAAAAGCCAGGGGACCAAGTGCTTCCATCCACAAGGTTATTGTTGGTTTTTCTTCTTTGATTCACATGCATTATTCAGATGGAGTCAAAACTACAGGCAGAGCAAGTCTGTAGACGATCAGGGGATGGTATCATGTGTGGCATTTGATTTATCATTTCACTCTGTTTGCGCAGATAAGTATGGACAAAGTAAGAGACACACCTTGAAGAAAGGCAGTTTAGCAGTAGGTTAGAGCAGGGATGTCAAAGTCGCGGGCCACATACGTCCAACACGGACCAACGTAAAGTCAGTGTTAAGTAGTTTAAACTCAGTGTAAGAAAACAAAGTCTTTCTCAGTTTTCTCTACATGAAGATCTTTTTGTGATTTCACAGAAAATATCCATCCAGCTGGTCAAGAAGGCTCAGCAGTGGCTATATTTCCTGAGGAGGCTGAGGAAATTTGATATGTCGGCCAAGATCCTCAGCAGGTTCTACAGCTGCATTGTGGAGAGCACACCGACCAGCTGCATGACTGCATGGTACGGCAGCAATACTGCTACGGACCGCAAACGCCTGCAGAGAGTGATAACAGGACTCCGCTGCCCTCTCTGCAGAGCATCTACCATTGAAGAGTCCAGAGGAGAGCTGCCTCCATCCTCAAAGACCCCACACCCCCAATGCGGACTGTTCACACTTCTGCCCTTAAGACGAAGGTTCAGAAGTGTGAAATCCAGAACATGCAGCCTCAACAACTCCTTCTTCCTCACTACCAGACTCTTGAACAGCTGACCCATTTTGAACAGTAATAATGTTGTTGTTTTTTTGCACATCAGGTCATCTTACATATTAAGCTATAGCTCTTCTGCACACATCTCTGTTTCAAATCTCCATATTTTGTCTCCTTTGTCTTCATTTATTTGTACTATTTGCATTTATATGTTCTATTTCTATTGTGTATATATTAATCGGCATCTGTGGGTGAACAGCAAAGAAAGAATTTCATTGCACAGAGAAATGCCGTTTCTCTTGTGACACATGACAATAAACACTTTGAATCTTGAATCTTTGTCAGTGGAAACTGTAAAATTTATGACAACACAGCTAAAAGGTTTTGTCACATTTTCTAAATCCTTCCAGTGGGCCGGATTGGACTTTTTGCTGGCCGAGTCTGGCCCCCCGAGCCTTATGTTTGTTTTGGACACACATAACATGACTGGATTCATTTCATAGAGTATTGAACTGAATAGGATTCGCATCATGATA